TCTCTGCTGGCCTCGAGACGTGGGCCTTCATGCCTCACCGAGGCTTCGGCCCATCTGATTGGTGGACTTGCGACAATCGATCGATCCGCCGCCCCGTACGGCCCGCAAGCGGGGCGCTGCCACCTCAGCAAACATGGCGACTCTGCGCACGCCTCACGGTCTCACCTCCGACACGACCGACACCACCAGCACTACCACGCCTATCGCCTCAAGTGCGCACACACACAAACACACGCACCTGGCTAGTAGGCCGACCCGAGGCCAGCCTCCACCTGGTCTAGCTAGACCGCTTCTCTGACCAGATGGGCCGTGCAGACGCGGCAGCCTCGCGTGCGTTCACTGTTGGCACGCCTGAGCCGGAGTCGGTGTGACTGTGGGCCTCATTTTGTCCTGCACCATGTGTCATGTGTCATGTGTTGGTGTGTCTGCAATTTGGAGATTCCGGCAGGCGGACTGGCAACCAGCCCGGGGTGGGATATGGGTAATTACAGGGGCCATGAGAATGGGTGTGTCTCGGCGTGGGGAGGTGAGTGACCGACAGACAGACGAACTTGCCTCAGAGCCCGATGTGAGCATGCCGGCTGCAAGAGGCGGCCGCCGCCGGCCCCTCTTGTCCTCCTGTCCTCCTGTCCTCCTGTCCTCGCTGCCTCAGCTGGGCTCGCCCCGTCTCGCCCGACACCTGAACCACCTGAACCAGCCGGAGCCAGTCTCACTCGCTCTCTCTTGCCCCCGCCCCGTACCCGTCCCCGCTGCCGCTCCCGCCCCCGTCCGTCTGTCTGTGTGTCTACCTGCCGAGTGTCTGTATGCGCTGCCGCGTTGGCTGCCGCCGTGACCAAGTGGAGTGGCGCATTTAGCCTGCTTGCAGTGCCGCCGGTTGCATGGCTCGCCTCCTTTCGCTCCTCCTCCTCATCCTCTTCGTGGCGCCGACCCTTCGGGTCTGATTGGTCTCGAGCTGAGGCCGACGGGAAGCAGTCGAGGCATGCCGGCGGTCGAACGCAGCACGACTGGCGCCTGCGCATGCGACGTCGGCGCGTAGTCGGCCAAATGTGCTGCCCGGCGCGAGCATCGTCGTCGGCCGTCGGCGATCGGCACGAGCTGCAGCCGGACGGGTTATCATCGATCGACGAGCCGCTGAATCTGGCCAAGCCGAAGGCGGCGTCGCTGACACAGGCGCCGCTGCTGTCGCCCGACGCAGAGGCAGACGCCGCCGCCGCCGCCGCGGGCGCCTCGTCCGCGCTCGTCCGTCTATCCTCTGCCGCAGATCCACAGATGGGCCTCGGCCTCGGCCTGTTGGCGCAGGCCGGCCAGGCCGTCATCCTCTTGCCCGCGCCGCCCGGCCTCGTGCCCGAGTGCCTGCTGACGCGAGCTGCGGACGCCGGGCTGACGGCCTCCTGTGCGTCTGGCCAATCAGTGGCGGCGCCTGACTCGGACTATCTGGTGGCCTGGCTGCACGGCGTGCAGGCGGCCGTCAACTCGATCCTGGCGCCGCGCCTGTTGGCCGACAGCCACGCAGCCGCGGCTGCAGTCGCCGCAGTCAGTCCGCCCGGCGGCCCGCCAGGGCCGACAGTCTCGCGGGTCGTCTCGCTCGCCGCAGACACGCACAGGCACACGCAGGCCGACCAATCGGAGCCTGACCTGGAGTCGGCGTGCGTGGGCGTTTTGCGGCCCGAGGCGCCGGTCGGGAAGCCAGAGCCAGAAGGGCCGCCGCGCGCGGCGCGCCTGGCGCAGGCGTCAGGACGGCCCGCCTCGCCGGCCTCCGACGCGTCGCGCGTCTCGACGCCCGCCTCGGCCGCCCAGCCGACCGCGCCGCGACCGGCCCGACCGCCTCGGCGGCCCGACGACGTCGGACCGGGCCGCCGCGGCCTGACCGAGGTGCGCCGTGCCAGAGCGAACGCGCGCGAGCGCAGTCGCGTGCACACCATCAGCTCGGCCTTCGAGGCGCTGCGCCGCTGCGTGCCCGCCTACTCGGCCTCGCAGAAGTTCTCCAAACTGGCCGTGCTCCGCATCGCCTGCTGCTACATCGAGACGCTGGCCGCCTGTCTGCAGGAGACGACCGGCCGGCCACAATTGCACACCGCCCCCACCCTCGACGTGCCTCGGCTACGGCCCAACCTCACCTTCGAGGAGTGCGCTCGCCGCCTTGCTCACACAATGAACCACGAGGGCAAACTGAAACACTGGTAACTATGACCACTCACACACACTCACACTCATCCACATTTGGCTGTCTGCATTTACGCTCCACGAGCACGCGCGTACAGCAACTACAACCACACAACCGCACAACCACGTCTTTTTCAGACCCCCTGCGCCGCAGTCTTTCACTTGTCTCAACAGCCTCGGCACACTCCATTCGCCGCTTCTGATTGGATTGTCGTCAAATTTGAATAAATCGCCGTCAATTTTGACACCTTTCGCCTGCTCGCCTCTTCTGGTTGGCTCGTTTTCGTTGTTTTATTGCCGTCTTCGCGGACAGTCATGCTGATGATGCTACTGTTGTTGTTGCCGTCGTTTAAATTTGCATCAGGCGCCGACATCCCGTCATCAACGGAGCCCACAGGCAGCCTTCAACGATGGCTTTCCCGCAACCTTTCTGGCGGAAGCTGAGCCCACGTTCGCTGATTCCACGTCGCCAATGACACCAGCGCCACGCAATCTCTAGGCCGTCACAGTCTGGCTCTGACAGCTGATCGTCGGTGTTGGTGCTGCCTCGCTTTTGCTCACAGCCTGCCTTCAAGAGTGTCTACGGGGTTGCACCCGGTTTCCGCCATTTTGGTTGTGTTGTCTGGCCTCGTGACAACCTCGGCATCGCAACGTCAATGTGACCGGGTGCATCGGTCGAGCGCAATTGCTGCCCTCTCCACGCCATGCCATCGCGTAAAAGCGCCAGTTTAAATAAGATGTTGTCCTAATTTGTACTCAATGCCCAAAAGCGGCAGCATTAATTGACGAAAATGGCACTTTACGCCGCCTCGCAGAATGACCTCCCAACAGCCTCTTCCTTTGCATGCACCTCATTTGCTGGTAGTCGCGAAAGTCTGTTTATAAACGGAAAAAAGGACATACCAACTATCGAGACATTTTGGCCGACTCTGGTGGGAGCATTTTCCCCACAATGATATGAATTGAGCTGACGTTTCCAGTGAATTTCACACAGCCTTGCTTTCCCACAGGCTGTTCTCGTCCCCGCTGGGGTGGATTGCAGTCTCCATCTCGGCCGGTTCTTATCAACACCGCCAGCGGGAGTCGAACCGTGCCAGTGCCGAATGGGAGCTCGACACGTCAACCACTGGGCCGCATTGCCACCAGTGCAGTTCAAGCAATGCCGGACCTTTTCCCACTTGAAGAAATGTTATATTTGCTATTGTAATCTACCGCATTACTTATTTTCCGCTTGTGAGTAGGCATCGTGTCAATATTATGTGCTCCATCGTCACGGTTCAAGTCGTGCTGGGGCTGCTGATGAGAATAGGTCGAAATTGCAGTCCACCTCATTCTGGACGAGAATAGCTTTTAGGAAACAAGACTATGTGACATTCAATGGAAGCGTAAGGTCTACCGCATTAACTCATACGAAACACGGTGAATGCATCTCATATAGCATCTTATGTCAGCTAGAGTGACCAGAACTCTTAGTTAAGTTTTACTGATTGTTGTTAAACTTACTTCCCATGGAGACAAACCTTAAGTTTCCTTGAACATATGAAGACCAAAGTGTTGTGGCCTTTGGTGCGTTCTATTAGGTCGCCCTGACAACAACGAAGTCAACCCACTTGTTAAATTTTCTTTTTAAATATTAACATTTATTATACCGAGTGATTTTGTTTGGCATTGATTACAATGCTTGATTTTGTCTGTTGGAATATATATGGAGAGAAGCTGGTTTGATACTTTAATGTGACTTGAATTTTAATTCCAAAAAAGAAAGTTGGTTGAAGGGCATTGTGGAATTAGTATAACCGGCAGAGGAGCCAGGAGTATATCTAAAATTTCGACTCCGATGATATCTTATTGAGCTCGCTTGTTTAGCTGTGATAGACATCTTTGAGCCGGTCAATTCTTATTTGACTAAGAACTGAGTCAATTTACATCCTATTTCGTCTAAGGTGATGAAGGACTGATAGTAGAATTTTCCCACAATGATATGAGTTGAGCTGACGT